CAGGTAGTTTTAAATGCAAAGCATTAAATCCCTTGTGCACAAAAGTGCTGGGTTCTTGGTGATTCAAACCCAGTTGGGTGAGAAATTTGCCCATCTCCCCCTCACGATGCCTCAACCCATCCATAAGACCCAAGGGTTGGGTGGCCACCAGGCAGGTGACAACCAGAACCAGCACATGGTGACATGTTGGAATATGTGTTTGACCTGTGTTAATGGTGACAGCCCATGAGCATGGAGCCCCTTGGGTTGAGTTGTACCTGAGATGCTGGTTTGCAACCTTCAAATAGGTATTTTCACCCTATAAATGTGCCCGACTGTGTGGTCCTGCTGGGATAGTGGTACCCCAAAAGAAGGCATCTCCCTCAGTCTGTCCACCCTTTATCCCTGGTTGCAACTGGGGGCAATGGTTTCCCAAAGAGAGCTCTGCAGCTGGAGAACTCCATTCCGAGAGCCAAAGCAAACAAACTATCAAGGAAACAGCAAGGAGTCAAGGGAAGTTATTGTAAATCCTTCCTGAATGGGAAATTCCAAGGGTACCTGCACGTCTCGTGTGCTTTGACCTCTTTATTCCTCCCTGAGGACATGATCCGGAAAGTGGAGGAGCCTGGAAGTGGTGAGTCAAAGGGACCTGGTGCGCTCCACCATCACCCACTGGGCAGCTGCCAGATCCTGCAGGTCCCCATGGGCATCTGAGGTGAGTTTGGAGACACCTGGTACCTGAATCCATCCCTGGGGCTGCTGGTTGAGCCCAGTACTCCCAGTACTCAATGGTGGAGCTCCATGGTGGGTTGCACCTCTGCTCCACACCGTATTCTCCCATTGGCCTTGCAATATCTGAAGGGGGCTGCAAGGATGCTGGGGATGGACTCTTCATCAGGGACTGGAGTTATAGGACAAGGGGTAACGGGTTCAAACTGAAACAGGGGAAGGTCAGGTTGGATCTAAGGCAGAAGCTCTTCCCTGTGAGGGTGCTGAGGCGCTGGCACAGGGTGCCCAGAGAAGCTGTGGCTCCCCCATCCCTGGCAGTGTTCAAGGCCAGTTTGGACACAGAGGCTTGGAGCAAGCTGCTCCAGTGGAAGGGGTCCCTGCCCATGGCAGGGGTTGGAACTGGATGAGCTTGAAGGTCCCTTCCAACATAAACCAGTTTGGGATTCTATACCTGTGATCATGGAGGATGGGGATAACGGGTCTTGGTGAGAAGACATACATGGCCATCACGGTGCTGAGCCTCAGGAGCTCAGGGCTCTCCCAGGGAGGGAGGAGCTACTGAGGGGTGATCTGCTAGCACGGGATGGAGGGGAAGGAGCTGCAGGAGGGATTGTGGTCATCCTTGAGGTGTTTGATCTCCACTCAACCATGCAAAGTTCAGAGATGTCCCCATCCCAGACCCCAGCTCTGCCCTTGAAGTGAGAAAGTGCAGCTATTGATGAGGAAGAGGTAGTGAGAGCTGATGATCTCACTCTTTTCAGAGCCTCCTAGCAGTGGGGGTGAAGAAGACCTCTCAAAGGTGGCTAAGAAGTGTGAAGGACCACCTTGGAAACCTCCATCACAAGACCCCCTTGTGCCCTAAGCCCTGGGATTTCCTGCTGGCAAAGACCCACAGATGTGAATCCCAAATTCCCCTTTCCCAACTTGCTTGACCAACAGATGGATGAGGTGGTCTGAGGCCAGGCAACCTCCTGAAGAGTCATAGACTCATAGAACTTTCCTTCTGCTGAGGTTCTGGATCAGACTGGAGCCTAAGACACCACCCAGTCCTGGATCCTCATTCTCCACACTACTCCTTGAGGACTCCCAAGCAAAGAAAAGCATTGAGTGGAAGCTCAATGAGTCCTTGATGCTCATCAGGGTGTGATGGTGAGATGAAAGAAAGGCTCTGAAGATCAAGGTGTCAATCACCTATGCCCTGGCGAAGGAGCCCAACAATCCCTTCTTTCCCTGTTGACGTCCATGGGGCTCTAACAAAGCAGGTTGGAGAGGAAAATGAACTGAAACATGCTTCTTGAGAAACACTGCCATTGCAGTGGGTCAGCTTCCACTTGGAGCAAAGCCAGGGCTTCTTAGCCTGAATTCCCACCAAAGGCAAGGTTTCCTGGCAGTCCCATGGAGCCCTGGCTGAATGGGGGCATTGAGCTCATAGCTTGTCACTGGGAGCTCATCACCTCCAGAAGGAGGTTACGGGTCGTTGGCCAGAAAAGTAGGACTCTGACCTCAGAGCACCTTCCAGTGACTGAAGGAGGCTACAAGGATGCTGGGGATGGACTCTTCATTAGGGACTGTAGTGATAGGACAAGGGGTGATGGGTTCAGACTGAAACAGGGGAGGTTTAGATTGGATCTAAGGAAGAAGTTCTTCACTGTGAGGCACTGGAATGGGTTACCCAGGGAAGCTGTGAATGCTCCATCCCTGGCAGTGTTCAAGGCCAGGCTGGACAGAGCCTTGGGTGCCATGGTTTAGTGTGAGGTGTCCCTGCCCATGGCAGGGGGTTGGAACTGGATGATGTTAAGGTCCTTTCCAACCCAAACCATTCTATGATTCTGTGATTCTCTGATCATCATCAGTTTCTCCAACACAGACATCCAGCAGTGAGATGATTTTTTCTTCTTCTATTGGGGTTTTCACCGCAGGAAGCAGCACTGGTTTGACTGTGTTGAGCACTGATTGCAGTAAAAGTGTGGAGGCACCGGGTGAACCTCAAGAAATGAGACTTTGTCCCCCAAACACCTCCGACTCAAAGGCAGAGGCAGCAGATACCTGCACATGAGCCGTCTCCTGTCTGGTTATAAAAGAGCTGCCACCAAATGTCACGTCCTCATGAGCACGCCCAGCCAGAGCCACCACTCTGTGCCCAGAAAGACATGAGAAATTAACTCCATTTCCGTTATTAATGGCTTTTAGATGTAATGAAATTCCTCCTGCAAGGCATCTCCGGTCTGGTGAGCTGCAGCGGAGCAGGAGGGATGCAGCTTGGCATCTCTGTGCTGAGGGGGAACCTGAAAGCCCTGGAGGACCCTGCCCATGGTGACATCCATCATTTAGTGGTGGGGACACCCCATTCCTGAGGCTTCTTAAAGCTTCCACTGGAAAACACTGCCTTTCACCTCCAATGGGAATTGTGTGTCCATTGGAGGAGCACGGCCCCAGCTTCTCTCCCTGTCCTCAACCATAGATGCTCCTCTCTCCATCTGCATCATCCCAACAGCGACTGGAAAGCCGGAGCTGGGGTGGGAAGGTGCAATTACCCCAGGTAGCAGCAGCATGGGTTGCCTGCACTCAGCCTCTAGCACGATTACTGGCACCATCTGGCCGGAGGAGCAGAAACCAGGCAGCCCAATTGTCTCATGAGGCCAAATCCAGCCTCTGTGCCAAGGATTAACCCAGTCGGTGCGGCTCCAAGAGGAACCCAAGCCATTCCCTTGCCCTGATTGCTCTTCCCAGTGAGCTTCGCCTGCCTTTCGCATGGATAAAAAGAGGTGTAAGAATGATGCCTGGCTGGAAACCTCTTTCCTGGCCTTGCTGCCTCTCCCATCCCTATTCAACCCCCAAGATGTCATTTTTCCAGGCATTCCCGTTTATTCCAGGTGCTGCTGGGCCCAGTGCTCGGGCTGGAAGGCAGCCACCACTATTTTCTACCCTTTCTTTAACTCTATTTACACTGTCCCCACCAGGACACCTGGCTGCGAGGCATCCACCTTGGGGACCTGCAAGGGCATCCGCTGTGCTGGGAGGGAGGAGGACACCAGCTCCTTGTCACCCCTCTGCAGCTTGCCCTGAAGATGGAGGCAGCGCTGGAGCTGGAGGTGGGATGAGTGCTTTCACTGGCGGCTCATCGGAGGAGTGAGTTGTGTCCGTTCTCAGCTGCATTCCATGGATGCTTGTGTAGATCCTTGGGCTCCTCATTGCAGGGGTCTGTTTGCACAGGGTTTATTTTCTGCTCTATTCTAGGGAAAGATGCTTCCCCTCCACCCTGGTTTCCATCCTCCTGTGGCAGGAGAAGGGAATTTCATGAGGGCACCGAGCCATCACCAACCCAACCCCGCAAGCCTGGGCAGCCCCACAGTGAGGGTGCTGGCTCCAGCCTGGCTGTGGTTGCACATACTCACTGCTGCTCCTGCCAGAGCCCATCTCCCCTGTGGCCCCACTGCCCGGCTTGGCCATGGGCTCATGCCAGGATTGATGAAAGCCCACATTGTCCAGCATAGCGCAGGCGCCGGTGGGATCCAAAGAGGCTGCAGCACCTTGTTCCGCCTCCTCATCCCACCATGGAGCCAGACCCCTGCCCCAAACCCCTCACCTCATATTAGGTGGCAGCTCTGGGGGTGCATCACCCAATGAGGTGACACTGGAGAGCCCCATTGAGATGCTCCATCATCCGAGTGATGCCGACCAGCACCTCCTTCCCCTCCACCTCTACCGAGAGCCATCAGAAGCCCCTGGGCAGACTGGGTTTCCAGGGAAAGGAAGGACCAAGCCCGGCATCCTGAGTAATCCCAGCATCCCTGCACTGTTTATGCATCAGCTCTTTCATACCCAACACATTCCCTCAGGCTTCCTTTTCTTATTGCACTTTAATAGCTGTGCTCAGGAAGCGCCGAGGCTTGACCTCCTGGTTAATCATCACCGAAGCCACCGACCCCTTTGGCTGGGACCTGGGGGCCATGGGGAGACCCTGTCCCCATGGCCCAGTCACCCCCCGAGGGCTCAGCAGCTCCCAGTGCCCAGCCAGGACCATGCTGTTGACTGATGCATGAGCATCGCACCCTCTAAATCCCACTTTTGGGGGTGCTGGAAGCCCCCCAGCACACTCTTCAATAGAGATGTTCACCTGTGATGCCAAGCCAGCTGTTTGCATGGCAGCCCCCCGTACACTGATCGGTGCCCCCAATCCAGCTGTTCCCCCCCCAGCCTAAATCCAGATGTGACCCTTCCCTAGCCCCCCCCTCCCGCAGGTGCTGGGGCCGGAGCGGGGCGGAGCGGAGCGGCCCCGGGGCGGAGCGGGGCCGGCGGCCGGAGGCTGCGGGGCGGCCCCGGGCTCTGAGCTCCGCTGCTGCCGCCCGGGCGCATCCCGCTGCCGGTGAGTGCCGAGGATGGGGGGGACGGAACCGAGAGAACCGGGCAGGGGGGGAGCCGAGGGGGAGCGAGTGAACCGGTAAGAATGGGGCTGGACCGGGCAGGATGGGAACCAACGGGGTCGGACAGAACCGGGCAGAGGGGAGCCGAGGGGGAACGAGTGAACCGGTAAGAATGGGGCTGGACCGGGCAGGATGGGAATCAAAGGGGTCGGACAGAACCGGGCAGGATGGAGCCGAGGGGGAGCGGGTGAACCGGTAAGAATGAGGCTGGACCGGGCAGGATGGGAGCCAACGGGGTCGGACAGAACCGGGCAGGATGGAGCCGAGGGGGAGCGGGTGAACCGGTAAGAATGGGGCTGGACCGGGCAGGATGGGAACCAACGGGGTCGGACAGAACCGGGCAGGATGGAGCCGAGGGGGTCGAAGAGAACGGGAAGGATGAGAGCAGAGAGGGTCGGAATGAACAGGGCAGGATGGGGCTGGATTGGACGGAATGGGACCTGACAGTGTCAGACAAACCGGGCAGGATGGGACCCCACGGGTTGAGACGGAACCGGGCAGGATCAGACCCGAGAATGTCGGAGTGAACCGGGCAGGATGGGACCCGACAGGGTCAGACCAGACTGAGTAGGATGGGACTTGAGTGGGTCAGAGTGAAGCAAGCAGGATCAGACCCAAAAGGGTCCAATCGGACTGGGTAGGATAAGGCCAGACAGGGCAGGATTGGGCCCTAGAGTGTCAGACAAAACAGGGTTATGTTAGGGTCAGACCAAACTGGGCTGGATGAGACCCAACAGGGTCAGACTCAACTGGGAAGGATGAGACCCGAGGGGGTTAGACCACACCGGGCAGGATGAGGCCAAACAGGGTAGGATCAGACCCAAGAAGGTCCAATGGAACCAGGCAGGATGGGACCCGACAGCATCAGATCAAACTGGGCAGGGTGGGACCCGAGTGGGTCAGATCAAACTGGGCAGGCTGGGGCCAGATCAGGCAGGATAATGGGTGAGACTGAACTAGGCAGGATGGGACCCGAGCAGATCAGATCAAGCTGGGCAGGATGAGGCAGAACCGCAGAGCATGGGGTCTGATCCGACTGCATTGGTTCAAATGCAGACAGCATCAGTGCTTCAGTGATCCCGAAGCCACCCCAACGGTAGCTGCTGATCTTTGCCTTTAGGGAGCTTTAGCAGCGTTTCCAACAGAGCAAGGCTTAAAACCACACTGATCCCCATAGCAGCGCTGTGTGAGGCTCAGAGGGATGGCTTCACCCTGGTCCCTCTGCTCCCACAGCCTGGGGTGCAGCCAGGATGCTCCTGCATCTCTTGGGGCATCCATAGGGATGAGTGCTGTACTGGAGGTGGTGTCACACACAGCATCTCACATCTGTGTGAGGGACCTGGTCCTCTACGCTGCTGTGGGTGCCAGCAGCCTGTCCCTGTCTTTATATATACCTCTATATGGATTTGTGCATATACAGAGCTATAAATATATTGGTATATAAGCATGTGTGCATAGACAAGCATATAGAAGCATAAACACATCTGTAATAGAGTTATGTATACACATCTGTGTGAGCCCATGTGCTTGGAGACACATATTTGTGTAGAGAGGTATAGAAGCTTGTACATATGTGTGTGCAGAGACATGTTTCTATGTATGTGTATAGGGACATGCATGTGTCTGTGTATGTGTGTGTAGAGCCATATATGTCTGTATATAGAGGTGTATATATATATGGAGAGGTGTACATGCTTATATACATATGTTTAGGCATGTGTATGTGTGAACATATGGCTGTATATGTGCCTATGTTGGTCTATATAGATGGGTTTATACAAGCTCAGCCATGGGTCCATGTTAAGCACCCTAAAATGCCTGATGTTGTCCCAGTTTGTCCACATTATCCCACTTTCAGGCTCCAATAAATAGGGATTTCCCTTAAAACACCCAAACCTCGGTCCCCAGCTACCCCAGGGCAGATGGGACACATCTATGAGGACCTGAAGGTGTTTGGGGACCAGCCAGGAGGTGTTTGGGAGCAGGGATGCTGTGGCTTTGGCCAAGTGAGAGCACCCCCATTCATCCCCTTCGAGATCTGCTGAGCTGGGGCTTTCAGTTCTGTCCCCACCATCCCAGCCCTGACACTAAGCCACTATGATGTCCCCACCACAGTCTCACCCTAAGGAGCACCCCAACACCACGAGCATCCCTTTTTTCCCCCCTTCCAAGTCTCATTTAGGGACTGGTTTCACCTGGTGCCCATCACCGTGGTGTCAGGTCCAGGTCTCCATCATCCCGTGTTTGCTTTTAAGGGCAGCTGAGCACAGAGAGCATCCACCCCATCATCCTGTGATGGCTTTTTTGGGGTGAAAATGGGGGATTTCTGGGATAATCCACTGGGTTTGGGCACGGCAGCAGGATGAGGCCGAGCATCTTGATGTGGTTTCATTAGTTAGAAGCTATGGTGATTTATGGTGATGGCAAACTGTGACTGTGGGGTTAGGGGTGGTTGCGGGCAGTGGGTATAGTTGAGGTGGAGATTTTCTGGTGTCTAATAGAAAGGTTTTGCTCCATGCATCCTGGAACTGGATTTCTCCTAGGATTGGGAGGGATTTTCCTCCTTTCCACCAGCTCTTTCCCCCATCCCAGCCTGGTAGCACTGGGGTTCAGTGCCCTGTTTCCCTCATGGGAAACACTGGGGTGTGCACACGTGTGTCTGTGTATATAGGGGGTCCATGGATGCGTGTAGGGCATGGGTTTGTATGCACATGATGTGGAGCTGAGGTGGAGGCGCTGGCATGGGCTGGGCTGTGCCATGTCATAGCAGTGCAGTGCATGCAGTGCTCATGGTGCAGTGCCATGTCATAGCAGTGCAGTGCATGCAGTGCTCATGGTGCAGTGCCATGTCATAGCAGTGCAGTGAATGGAGTGCCCACAGTGTTGTGCCATGGAGTGCCCACGGTGCAGTGCCATGCAGTGCCCATGGTGCTGTGCCATGCAGTGCCCACGGTGCAGTGCCATGCAGTGCCCATGGCGCTGTGCCATGCAGTGCCCTGCAGTGACCATGGTGCTGTGGCATGCAGTGCCCATGGTGCTGTGCCATGCAGTGCCGTGCAAAGCCCCATAGACCCCAAATGGATGACCAAAGACCCCAAATGGGGCCACATCAGTAGGACTCGTGTGTTCCCCATCTGCCCCATGCACCCTTCCCTGCCCCAGCATGGGGACACTGCCACCCCTCTCCATCCGAGCGAGCTCATCCCCACCAGGCACTGGGGTTGGCACTGGGGTGTGCAGGGGAAGTGGGTGCTGGCCCCAAGCCACCAGCCAGGGCTGCCGGCAATGGAGGAAGCCAGAGGAGGAAGGAGAAGCAGCTCTGCCTTGTACCTGCAAGCTGCTGGGAGCACGCAGCACCCATGGGTGGCACAGCGAGTGCCAGGGCTCTCTTTGTGCTATAGGACCATGTCTTCCGCAGTAGTTCCAGCCTTTGAGTGAAGCAGACGGTCTGTTCCTCAGGTCAGAGCAGCCCAGAGGCCACGGGGATGGGCTTTTAGCCCATAAAACCCAAACCCCCTGGGACTGGAGCATCATTAGCCCCGATTCCCAGATGAAAGCAACCATGAAACATGTGTGGGTGGTGCTGGGCCCCATGCAGGTGGCATCTCCTAATGGGACAGAGGACTTAGGGGATGCAGCCCTATAGGGTGACCGGCTGTAAGGGCTTTGGCACCCCCTGCAGAGGAGCAGGAGGCCGTGCCAGTGGCTAAGAGCAGCCCGGGCTGCAAGTCCCTCTCCTGCATTGGGATGAGGGGGGTTTGGCCTTGTGCAAACCTCCCCACCGGGTGCAAGTGCTGGGGGAAGTGGAGCTGAGGTGGTGGTGACCATTGTGACCACGTTGGCCTGTGTGGTACCGCCCATTGTGGTACCGCTGTCTCCATCTTCATCTTCCTGTGGGACCCCGAAATCCATCATCGTGGTTTAGAACTGTGGAATCCTAGGCTGGTTTGGGTTGAAGGGACCTTAAAGCTCCTCCATTCCCAACCCCTGCCATGGGCAGGGACCCCTTCCACTGGAGCAGCTTGCTCCAAGCCCCTGTGTCCAACCTGGCCTTGAGCACTGCCAGGGATGGGGCACCCACAGCTTCTCTGGGCACCCTGTGCCAGCGCCTCAGCACCCTCACAGGGAAGAGCTTCTGCCTAAGAGCTCAGCTCAGTCTCCCCTCAGGCAGGTTCAAGCCATTCCCCTTGGCCTGACCCTACAGGCCCTTGTCCCAAGCCCCTCTCCAGCTTTCCTGCAGCCCCTTTAGGCACTGGAGCTGCTCTAAGGTCTCCCCTTCACACAGCAGAGGGGCAGGATCCCCTCCCTGAGCTGCTGCTCACGCTCTGGGGGTGCAGCCCAGCACACGAGGGGGTTCTGGGCTCAAGCACTCACTGAAGCCGGGTCATGGGGAGCTTCTCCTCACCCAACACCCCAAGTCCTTCTCAGGTCTGTTCTCCATCCCTCCATCCCCCAGTCTGTTTGGATAGTAAAGGTTTCCCTGACCCAGAAGCACACAGCTATGAGGTTGCACACAGCGGTCCAGGTTCATCCCCCTGTGTTGGATGTAACACCTCATGGCCAAGCCACCAACCATCTCCTTTGTCATCCTCAGGTACTGCTGAAGGGCCATCAATGGGGGACACCACCACCATGGCCAACTCGACAGCCCTTGTGGGCGCTGGGAGGAACTCATGCACCTTCCACGAGGAGTTCAAGCAGGTCCTGCTGCCCTTGGTCTACTCCGTGGTGTTCATGATGGGGTTGCCCTTGAACGCCATGGTCATCGGGCAGATCTGGGTGGCCCGTAAGGCGCTCAGCCGCAGCATGATCTATATGCTGAACCTGGCCGTGGCTGACCTGCTCTACGTCTGCTCCCTCCCTCTCCTCATCTACAACTACACCCAGAAGGATTATTGGCCTTTTGGGGACTTCACCTGCAAGTTCATCCGCTTCCAGTTCTACACCAACCTCCACGGCAGCATCCTCTTCCTCACCTGCATCAGCGTCCAGCGGTACCTGGGCATCTGCCACCCGTTGGCCTCATGGCACAAGAAGAAGGGGAAGAAGCTGACGTGGTTGGTGTGTGCTGCAGTGTGGTTCATTGTCATCGCCCAGTGCCTGCCCACCTTTGTCTTCGCTTCCACCGGTACCCAAAGGAACCGCACTGTCTGCTATGACCTGAGCCCACCGGATCGCTCCTCTGCCTACTTCCCCTATGGCATCACCCTCACGGTGACCGGCTTCCTGCTGCCCTTCATGGCCATCCTCGCCTGCTACTGCAGCATGGCCAGGATCCTGTGCCAGAAGGACGAGCTGATCGGCTTGGTGGTGCACAAGAGGAAGGACAAAGCCGTGCGGATGATCATCATCGTGGTCATCGTCTTCTCCATCAGTTTCTTCCCCTTCCACCTCACCAAGACCATCTACCTGATTGTCCGCTCCTCGCCCAGCCTGTCCTGCTCGGCTCTGCAGGCGTTTGCCACTGCCTACAAGTGCACACGTCCCTTTGCCAGCATGAACAGTGTCCTCGACCCCATCCTCTTCTACTTCACCCAGCGCAAGTTCCGTGAGAGCACCCGTTACCTCCTGGACAAGATGAGCAGCAAGTGGCGCCATGACCATTGCATTACCTATGGCTCCTAGGTGAGGACAAGGGACACCCCGGTGTCACCAGGATCAGCCATGGGGCAGTTTGGGCTTTAAGCTCCACAGAACAGAGATGGCTTCAGCTGGGGACATCCTGGAGGACAAGAGGATGGTATCTCCCAAGCTTTCAGCACTTTCATCTCCACTGCAGCAGCACAGTATTAACCCCATCATGGCACAGATCCAGTGTCCTCTGGCTTGGTTGCTCAGTTTGAGCAGCTTAGCACCATGGCTCCTTCGTGGCCAAGCCACCAATGCAATAAAAACTACTGGTGGGACCATGGAGAGCATGGTGGGACCATGGAGGACAAGCTGCTGGGGGGTGATTTCTCCCCTTTCTGATTTAAAGATTCCCTGATGGGGCCCTGTGTCTGGAGAGCATGAGGATGTGTTTTTCTCAGCTCAAGATCAGTGCCATGGACGTTTTATGGGGTAATATTGAGACATCCCTATTCTTCAGTCTCCAGAATGAGGCCACACCAATAAGAGACATGGGCTTATTGGTACCACGGGTACTGAAAAACTCTGGGAGAGCATTCCTGGCCAAACTGGGAACTGGGAAGGGGGACATAAGGGTAACTGGGACACCCCTGCTGGATTTCCCACCTCTAACCTTGGACTGGCTTAGACACAAGCCAGCAGTGTTGTCACCTGCCTGGTCACCTTCAGCATCACCTGGGTCCAGCTCCCTGCTTAGCCCAGCCTCCAAGTCATGGAATCAAACAGGTTGGAAGAGATCTTTCAGCTCATCCAGTCCAACCATTCCCATCAGTGCCAAGGCCACCACTGCCCCATGGCACTGAGGCCTCATCTCCATGCGGTGTGAACCCTTGCAGGGATGGTGACTGCAGCCCTGCCCTGGGCAGCCTGTTCCATCCTGGCATCCTTGGTTCCCTGCTGTCACCTCCTAACCAGGGTCCTCCAGAATCAAATCCAGCACACCAGGACACAATGACTAGAGATGGGAAACCCATGCCACCAAGCTACTTGGTGTTCTTTGTCATGTCACCACATGTCCCGTAGTTGGCTTGGCCTTTCTACCAGCACCGTGCTGGGCTGGGGCTTGAGCTTTGCTCCCTGCAGCCTCCATATAGAATCATAGAATGGTTTGGGTTGGAAAGGACCTTAAGGTCATCCAGTTCCAACCCCCTGCTATGGGCAGGGACACCTCACACTAAACCATGGCACCCAAGGCTCTGTCCAACCTGGCCTTGATAAGGATGGTTCTCACTCCAAGCCAGGAGTGCTTCACTTACATGGTGCGGAGTGGAGGTACCACTAATCGCTCTGTGAGTCTCCTTTAACATACAGGATGTAGAGAATAACCTTCCCTCCCTTTTCCAGATGGAATGTTCACATATGTGCACCCTCTGTAAGTACATCCATGTAACACATCCCTGCACAGGAGGGTTTGTAGCCCAGCACGAGCTCCACAGCACAGATGCTCTCCATCCTGATTAAACTCAATGTATTTACACGGTGGATATGTGCATGTATGGAGTGAGCAGCAGCTCAGGGAGGGGATCCTGCCCCTCTGCTGTGCTATGGGGAGACCTTAGAGCAGCTCCAGTGCCTAAAGGGGCTGTAGGAAAGCTGGAGAGGGGCTTGGGACAAGGGCCTGTAGGGCCAGGCCAAGGGGAATGGCTTGAACCTGCCCGAGGGGAGACTGAGCTGAGCTCTTAGGCAGAAGCTCTTCCCTGTGAGGGCTTGGAGCAGGCTGCACCAGTGGAAGGTATCCCTGCCCGTGGCAGGGGGTTGGAACTGGAGGTGTTTCAGGATCCCTTCCAACCCAAACCATTCCATGATTCTGGAGTATTCATATCCACACGTATGTAGGGATAAGTGTTTTGCTCCATTTCCTACAGGTTGTCTGTGCATAATGATCATGTCTAAGTTTATTTAAGCAATTTGCTTCAAATCTCTAGGGAGGAGCATCCCTCCAGCTTGGCTGCTTGCACCCATCCTGACTTGCTCCCTCCAAGTATATGGTGTCTTCCTCCAGTACCTTGCCACCCGAGGACCTCACCAGCATCCAGGGGTAGTGGTCCCAGCGTAGCTTCTTGCTGTTGCAAGGATGAGGAGGGTGCTCATTGCCTCTTGGATGATGCTCAGAGATCCCAGCATCACGGTGGGCTGGAATGGAGAGGGATCCTGTAGTGGTGCTAGCTCAAACCACCATATTTTGCCGGAATTATGCTGTCATGGTTTAAGCACCATAAGGCTTAATGGTGAGGACCATGCATGGTGACAATGACTTTGGGTTGAGGCACAGAATATGATGGAGAAGGCAAAGCCATCCCGGGCCCTTCCCTTGGCTGGAGCTCATCCGCACCAAAATCTCCTCTGATGTACTTTCGGGGTCCTCAATTGAAGGTCAAACTGGGGGGCTGCGAGAGCGGTGGCCGGTGGGGCAATCCCAGCCTGGTGTCCCCATCTCTTCCCATCCCAAAGGACGGGGACGGGGTGGGAGGCTCCGGGCCACGCCACCAGGACCCAGGAGAGGGCGCAAAATAGCCAGATTTGGATCAATCCGGTTGAGCCTGCGGGAGCCCACCCGGCTCCAGGAGGGATGGAGGAGAAGCCCTGCTCTATCCCACCATTCCCTGCCTGGGAAGCATCCATGGGAGGAGGTGATTGGCCAAAACTTGACCACAATAAAGCTAAAGAGCTCCCAAAACAGTGGTGGTGGCTGCAGGGACAGTGTGGGCTTGGGTGGTGACATCCAGCATCCCTGGGACACCCTTATGAGTGATGTTCTTGATGGTGGAATCACCAGTTCTGGATGGTTTTAAGGGTAGAAAGCTTACTTTTGGTCTAACCTGGCCTTGGGGTCCTGTCAGCAGCATCCTTGGTACCACCAGGCCTAGAAGCCAGGGTGATGGGCACAACAGGGTGCCTTAAAGACGGGGTGGGTGCTTCGAAACATCTCCTGTGCTTTTGAGATGCTGAACAGCAGCAGCATGAGGACCAGCTCCCACAGCACCGAGCAGGGATGAAATGCATGGCTCTTCCCAAAATCCCATCCTGAATGCCAGATGACCATGGGGATATCATCGTTACGGCCAGGAGATACCCAGCCCTTTGGGAAGCAGGGAAAGAGGGTGGAGGCAAGGAAAGGAATACATGCTGGGGTGGTGCAACTCACAGCATCTCCTGAAGCACATTTTAGGCCCTGAAAAACGCATTTATGGGGGACTTGGATTTATTTGACTCACCACCACGCTTCTGGTGCCCCTTGGCCAGAGCCAGCGATGTCCTTTATGTAACCAGGACCCCACTCCAGCCCCATCCATGCTACCGAGGCCCCAGCTCACCCACCAACCGCCCCAACCGCCTTCATTTCTCACATCCCCAGGGATAAATCTGCTGCCATGGGGGGAAAAGGGGGTTATAAGCTACAAATAGCAAGTGCTGACAAGCGATGCTAAAAACCAGGGGGAAGTCTGTTTGCGGGGCAGTGCGTCACCGTGCGAGCTCTGTGCAAGCTGGGAGCAAGGTGTTCTGCCTTTCCCAAGGGGAGCTGCAAAGCAGGGGCCGGAGAAAGCCACAGCAAAGGGAAGGAGCTCTCGCTGGCATCCGAGTTCTTGCTTATTTATCCCGTTTTCCCCTAAAAACGCACATAAAAAGCTGGGAGGAGACGGAGGGGAAAGGGGTGGATGCAGGGGGGTTTGAAGGGTGTGGGATGAAGGATAAGAGGGGGATAAGGATGCAGGGGGGGTGAACGATGCAGGGGAAGGAAGGATGCAGGAGGCTGAAGAAGAGTTGGAAAGGGTGCAGAGGGGGTATGAAGGATACAGAGGGGGATTAAAGGGGGGGCTGAAGGGTGCAGGGGAATGAAGGATAAGGGAAGTGAACAATGCAGGGGGGGTGAAGGGTACTGGGGGATATGAAGGGTGAGTGGGAGTGATGGGTAAGGGGGGATGAAGGATAAGGGAGGATGAACAGGTCGAAGGGGTTGAAGGATGGGGGGATGAAAGTTGCGGAGGGGTGAAGGGGGGTAAAGGGTATGTGGGGTATGAAGGATGCAAAGGGTAAGAATGGGGAGGCTGAAGGATGTGAGGGTGATGAAGGATAAGGGCATGACGAAGGATAAGGAGGGAGGGATGTGGGGGGTTGAAAGGTAAGAGGGATGAAGGATGCAGGGGGTGTGAAGGGTAAGTGGGAGCTGAAGGATGGGGGGGAACAAGGGAGGTAAAGGATGGAGGGGTGAAGGGTGCGAGGAGGGGCATGAAGGATACAGGGGGATGAAGGACAAGGGGAGGTGAAGGATGGTAAAGAATGGGGGTGAGTGAAGTGTTCAGCGAGGGACGAAGGATGCTTTGGGGGGGTGGTGTGAAGGATAAAGGGGGGAAGTGAAGGATAAGGGGGGGTGTGAAGGATGCAGGGGGGATTCCCGCTGGCCTGGGAGCCGGAGGGCAGCTCCGCAGCCGTTTCCCCCCCTTTTCCCCCCAAAAAGAAACCAGGAGGAAAATGAGATAAAGAATAAACCCGGGCCCAAAGTGCCACCATCCCCCTCCGCGGGAGGAAACCCCGCCCCGGGGAGGAAAGTTGATTTGAATGCAACAAATAAAGGAGCAGAGGGAGGAGGAAAAGCCCGAAATGAGGCGGAAAGAAAAAAAAAAGAAAGAAAGAAAGAAGGGAAAGAGAGAGCGCAAACAAAGCGGGAGGGATGAAGCCCGCGGTCAGCCCGGAGGAGGAGCGGGGCCGGGCGGTGCCTGCGGCGGGGCCGGGGCCGGGGCGCGGCGGGGCCGGGGGGCGGGCGGAGGCGGCGGCGGGGCCGGGGGGGGGCAGACAATGGCGGAGGGGGGCAGCGGTCGGGGGGTAGCGGCGGGTCGGTGTCTGCTGCCCGCCTCCTCCCCGCCTTCCTCCTCCTCCTCCTCCTCCTCCTCCTTCTTCTTCCCGGGTAGGAAAGTTTCGGCGTCGATCGCGGAGCACCAACCGGGCCGGGGTTTGGGCAGCCTGGCCCCATCGGTACGGCAGCTCTCGCTTCGTTTTACCGAGCCGGAGCCAACGGGCCCGGTTCATGCCGGGGCTCAGCCGCCGTCCCCGGCTCCACCGCCGCCACCACCGCCGCCGCCGCCGTCGTCGCCGCCGGGCCCGGGGTTAAACGCGGAGCCGCCGCGTTGGCCCAGCGTCCCGGCGATGCGGAAACTCTTCGGGGAGAGCTGCCGGCAAACTGCGGGGGGAACCGGGAATGGGAGCGGGATAGGGAATGGGAGCGGGACCGGGAGCGGGAGGGGAGCTCCCCCGCCGCCTCCACCCCGCAGCCGCGTCCCGCACCCGGCTCTCCGTTCTCCCCGCGGA